TGGGACCCTATACTGGTAAACATATGCACTGCCGCATTACCAGAAAAATCGTTACTTTTATGGGAGCAATCGCTCTCATCACGAAAGAAATGCCCCACGTGGCTACAAATGAAAGACTTTCTAACTACCCAGTACGAAATCGCTGAAAGGGTAGACAAAAGGCTAATTAAAACAAAAAATGTACAACACGACCAAAAAAGAAGCTTCAATAGACCCTAAGCTAGTAGCAAAAATAAATTAAACAGAAGCTTTTACAAATCTCAATCGTTCACATCCGAACAAAATAATCATACGTCATGCGAACTATGCACGAGAGGGCATAAACTACAATCTTGCGAGAAGTTTAAAAACTTAAAAGTTAACGAACGAAATAATTTGGTCAGATCAAAAAGACTTTTTACAAATTGCTTGTCACATGCGCATAAGTATAAAAATTGCAAAAGCAAGTTCAATTGCTTATATTGTCACAAAAGACACCACTCAATTCTTCATTACAGCAAATTTCCCATATCACCCCAAAGAAGCGCTTATACAAAAGGAACCACAGGTTTAGTGGTAACAACACCTCCCAAAAATTGCCAAAAGACACCATGTTGCTCAAAGGCACAAAAAACTCAAACGCTACACAGCGAAATACAAAATAGGGTATTACTACCCACAGCAGTCATCTTCATCGAACACCGAGGAGAACTGTTTAAACTTAGGGCCTTAATAGACTAAGGATCACAACGATCTTTCATAGCGTCTAGGGCTCAAAACAGGCTACAACTGCCAACAAAACTAGCCAATTTTGAAATCACGGGAATGGTCGGAAGAGTAGTCCAAAACTCAAATAAAATCTGCCCCATTACCCTAATTTCCCCCCAAGCGGATAAGCACATACAAGCAGAAGCTATAGTCTTACCGCAACTTACAAATATGCTTCCAAGCTGTCACACAAATAGCAAGCGTTGGCAAAAGGTTTCACACCTGAAGCTAGCAGATCCCAACTGCAATACCCCCCTCAAATAGATATAATAGTAGGCAGCGACCTTATACCGCAAATAATGCTTGAAGGTGTTGAAAAAATTTCAACGACCCTTCTAGCCCAAAATACTATTTTCGGTTGGATCCTAAGTGGACTAGTTACAGAACCAGTTTCCACAACAACAACTCAAGTTGACGAATACTCTAAAGAATACCTTCATTCACAATTAAGGAAACTTCGGGAGTTAGAAAAACGCCCCCTGATATTAATTACAACCCCAGAAGATCAGTATTGTAAAGACTTCTACAAAGCCACAACTACTCGATCAAATAATGGCCGGTACGTCGTACGACTACCACCAACGCCACAATCTTCCAACACTCTACAAATTGGCACAAAAAACCATGTCAGAGTTTCTTCTGACAACCCCAGTGTTAAAAACACATATATCTATAATTCAACCAAATCATCAAGATATATTACTAAGTATTCGAAAAGAAAATTTGTTGTACACTAATTTCCTTAAATTTGAAAAGGGCATTACAACATAAAAATACAGGGGATCCAATGGAATGCGATATCTGATCAGCTTTCATATCCTACTGAATCAACATCCGCATTATCCGCAATAACATTTTTGACCCCGCAGGATGGCTTTCTCCAATTATGATACAAGCGAAAATCCTAATTCTTCTTCACTTAGAAAAATGGTCACAATCTTCAAACAATCTTAACGATATCCGAATCTACCGATTCTTAGCCACAATCGCCCACTTCCATACATAATATCGTCCGCAACATACGAGTAATTGTCATAGAATGTTCAAAAATCGACACTTCTCTTACTATAGTGCCTCATAGTTGCCTAAATTTCAATAATCAAATACAATTCAAAATTAAAGTTAAGGAATCACCATACTTGCAATGTGATACAGTGACGCACCCAGACTTACAAAAAGTAAAGGTCGCACTCATCGCATCTATCTAAGCGCTCATCATACGGGTAGTTTATGGGAAACACTTGTAAAAGTTGTAAATCTCACTTCAAAAAAGTGAGCGAAAATCACAAATCTCACTCTCGCAAGATCCCTCTTCACAGGTTTGAAAGGAGCACCCATTCTGGCCATATCTGAGCCAGGCGTGGAGTCGCTATCCTCATAAGCCGATAATAAAGAGATTGCAAATAATTGCTGATAATACAGAAAAGGCAAATCATAAACAATCCGCATAAAAAATTGATAAAAGAAAAAATCGTAAATACAAACACTACTTATTGTATTGCCAACTTTAAAACCAAAATTGCTTCTTACAGCTAATGTTCTCGCTCTCGGCTACTTCATCAACAGCACGCCTAAATGCATAATACATATGTGTTATACTAGGCAAAATATTCGCCTAGGGGGCCCAGGATGTTTAAATGAGTTTAAACTCATTATATTATCATATAATATATTTAATTAATAAATTAATATATAATAAATTAATAAATTAATTAAATATCGTTAACAATAAATAAATTACCACTTATTTCGGATCAGAAAGAAATCTGCTTTTCATTTGTCACATTAACCGCGAGTGTAAGTGCCACATCAAAACTTTACAATGGTATGCGCTTACCTATTTATTTAGGCAACTTTATTAGTGTTGTTACTTGTACCAATATTCTTTCATTTTCAAATCTTTCTTTTGGAGCTTCCTAAGCCAACTTGAAACTGTCGTCATAAAGTGCGAGCTGTCTGACTACTACGCCTGCTTGGCCGTTTGTTTTGTATCGGAGGTGATACAATTTTTGCACTTTTGGTAGTTTAGGATAGTTGATGTAAGCGACTGTAAACATGTCCCAGAAGAACGGCTATTCTTCATAACCTCCATAAAATTTTTCTTTCATGCGGGCACCTTGAGGTGAATGCCTGAACTTGCCTCTTGACTTTGGTGGTGCAATTGCTTTACTTACCTTTAATTGATCGGAGATCATAGCTTCTGTACTTTCTTAATGGTCTAAGCAGTTTTCGTATTTGGCGTAAGCCAATGATTTAAAAATTTCTGGTATATCTGAATCGTCAGATTCTACTATGCCGTCATAAGCCGCTTTGAGACGTGTCCACAAATTGTCGAGGTTTTTAATTTTGACTTCAACTACCGAATCAGAGTAGTCTTGAATCGGTGAAAATGAAAATTAAGTACAGTATCTTCTTAACCTGTCACTTTCTGATATAAATTTAGTAACCTGTTTTGAGCGTGCAGCTTCTGCAGGTCTAGTTTGATTTTTGTCGTTATTATATTGTATTTTTGTATATAGGTACACCCTAATACACGGACTTATGTTGTATATATTTAAGTGCTTGTGCAATTGAGAGCTCGTTAAAAAGATCAATGAGTTTTTTTTCGTACGCAATCCTGCTTGTTTTTGTTTGCCAAAGAACAAGGTGTAATTGCCAATGTGGACTTTGAGAATTTGTATATATGTATAAATATGTAGCTTACGCAATTATTGATTTATTTTGAGGGATTTTTCGTGTTTGCTTTTTAAATAGTTTAATTTTTAATAAATTCGTTTACCATATATTTGTTTTATGGCCGAAAAATATGATTTTTTTTTCTTTTTAGAAATTGATATTAAATAGCTTTATTAGCTCCCAAAGTAGGGTATAAAATTACAGGCATATTATTTGGGGTTTTTTTTATATAAATGTGTATATATACGTATGTATGTATGTTCGCACAGCGAAAAGAGCGCGAAAGCGAAATGAATATTATGCAGGTATTCTCTCGTCTGCACTTTGTGTATAGTATGTTTTGGTATGTAAATATGTATATCAAGAATATGTATAGAAATAATATTTAAGCATTAGGCAAATATGCATATATGTTTGTTTTTTTCTCTCTCTTTTTGTTTTTTATATTAGAATTTTGATTTATACTTGTGCCTTTGCTTACTTAGTTTATGCAATCCTGCTTATTGTTTTTTTTCTTAAACTTATGTTATAAGGTATTGCTGGAAAATATTAGCAAGTATATACTCTAAAGCTTTTTTTTTTNTTTTTTTTTTAATTGGTGTGTTTTGAGAACATAAGGGCATGCTTATTTAGGCATTAGATAAGTATATACTTGAATATATAGATAATTAAACCATTGGGTAACTGTATCAAATTGTTGAATGGATTTGTTATTACTAGTTTTATATATGATTATATAAAACTGGAACTTTAGACATGGCTTACATATGTGCGTAAGGGACAATAATAATAAATGGAATCAATACAACTCACGTTATCGTCCCTCAAATGTGGGGGGAATAATATACGTATGTATATGTATGAATTTGTAGCACCAATTTTTCTCTTCTTCTGAAGTCTTCCAGCAGTATTGTGTTGTTTTTTGTTTAAACAATTTGAGTTTTTGTGTTTTAATCTGCACCCGTTTATTTGTTTTTATTTATGTTTCGTAGTTAGGTTTTTTAGTTTTCGCGCCCGACTTGTGTTTTTTGTGTGTTAACAGCTTTTTTCCATTTGGTTTTTGACACGCACTTCATATATGTTTGTTTGTCAATATGTATTTTTAATTTTTTACGTATTATTTTTCTTCGCTCTTTTGTATTATATGTACATATATGGGCCAATGCACTATATTTGGTTTTTGCTACCACAATTTTAGTTATATATGTAAATATATATTGGTGTACTTTCTTGTTTTGTGTATATATATTGTCTTTGTTTTTTGAATGTATGTACTTTTTGTGTAATCGCATGTTTTTCATATGTGAATATGGGCCACTGCACCTTTTTTGTTTTATTTATTTAATAATCTTTTTTCAGTTTATGTTACCGGACTTTAGCACTGTAAACTTTTTTTTGGTTTGTTTTTTGTTTATAAAAATCCCATCGTTCCTTTCACTAGGGGACCGTTCATAAATTTCGTAAGGCAGTTTGAAAGATGATTCAACCGTCCCCCCCCTACTGTAAGACATCATCAGATGACAACTACTCCCCCCTGCCCCTCAATAGGAATTTTTCGTAATAAAAAGTCATACTCATAAAATTTAAATCAGTTTTTTATGAAAACATCTTTTATTACAATCTGTTTACTATAAAAATCCTTAACTTACTGCAATAACATTAATTTTATCAATTTATCACAGTTTTGACCAGAATTAGTTCAGTAAAACCTAAGATGTTGAATAAAATAGAAAACAATTTAAAAATTTAACTGTTATTTACCCACGGGCTAACTTACCAGTCTGATATTGATTCGATTACTGGAACGACTGATTCTTTTTTGTTCTTCTATAGACTCTTCTAACTTTTCGATATCAATATCTTCACTGTCATACCATTCTACATCATGAGTATTATTGTTGTACGATGTGAGACACAGGCTACACTCAGCTTGACGACGTAAAAATTTAATCGATTGAACATTCTCGGTGCGAGTACACTGATACTTGATTGTCGCTGAGTTCTCATATTTTTATTTGATGCGAAGTACAATCCACCCGTCGGACATGTACGTGCAATCAACTGTGTTTGAACTGTAGGACAATAAAAACCGTATGGTGATAAAATGAAGTCTGAACGGCTAGGAAAAAGGTCATGATCAAATAAAGGGCAAAAATTAGTATTAGCTTGGTCTTTAGGAAAGGGAATATCTAAATATTGCCCTTGTCGAAGAGGATGAGGTGGTGGAATAAATCCATCTAATAAAATCATTCGCAAATTACTCCTTAATTTTCCACATCATTTTAATTTGGTGCATTTGCTAATTTGCAGTAAATATGTCTACAGTACCAATCAGCAGCCCATTCTTCTGGGCTTACATCAACATTATCACGTCCCGGATCTATGTATTCAGCAACGACTGGTCTATCATCAATAATCAATTTACTCCATATTTGCGCTAAAATATCACCAGCTATTTCGAAGTTTTTGAGTTCAAGTTCATCATCAACTGTACGTCGTTGATCATCAAGATGATTACTAAAAGAATCATACGGTAAGACAAGTTCCGATGACCTTGATGACTCAATGGAGCCATTTTGCGCTCTACTCCATTAAGCAAACTTCATCCTGGAGCATTCGTGACAATAACTAGAACATCAAGCTCAAATTTACGAAAGTGAGACACGGCCTGAGAGATAACTTTAGGAAAGCGTGGATTTGCATCAGGTCCTCCGTTAACAGTCATGATCATAACTGACTAACATAATCAATACTTTTAGTTCCATGAGATGCTCTAAATCAATGCTATGAGAGCGTGCTGATAATGCTGAATGTTACCCAGATCAGGTCCAAGCAATGAGGCGAGTGACTCGATATCCCAAATCGAAGCAGTGCAAAATTGACCATCTGGATCTCGTTTGGGCTCATCATTTGTTGCTCTACCTTATTTCAACGGAACTGTTACTACGTGTTTTTCCCTTCAATTGTAGGAGAGTATCTAGGTAAAAGACGAAGATACGTAGCACTTCGTGATAAATTAAAACCATGCATCACATCCAAAGCTTGCAATTTCTGCTAAAACTTTCTAAAACTCAGGTACAGACTCCTCCAAACACGGGCGACCAACTATCTCGTGCAAATTTAATTGTTGTTTTACAACTGGATCCTTGATAAGGTCTTTGATTAATGCCTGTCTTTTTTTTCTAAAATTTTTTTGATATCAAGCGTTGCGTTTTTTGCTTTTGAGATCCATCGATCCATCAAGTTATTTTTGCAATTTAGTTATTTCTTGATTAATCTGCAGGCCTCCAAGACCCGAATCACGACGTAAAGGATTAGTATTCAACTCACTCTCTATCAATGAAATTTTTTTTCATTGGCATCTGTGCTGGTGTAGAATGAGATGTTGATTGTGATTCATCAGGAATTGTCTCTTTCTTAATCAGTTCGTGTGCTATATACTTCTCTAGTGCATAATGCCACAGAGGAATTTGTAGAGTTTTTATCCATCAAAGCAAAATGTCACCTAGACACATTTTGCTGTAAGAAGTGATTTACGTTACGAGTAGAATTCGAGTTATAATAATGACTTGGAAAAAATATTAAAACAGTAATATTATAATGAAATATGTATACAGAAATACAATATTGACTAACCTGTTTAGGAAAATATCGGCATTGTTAGTTTCTTTTAGCAGCAGCAAGTTGACTCAGTCTTTGTCATTTTCAAATATATCTTTGTTGGTTGTTCAGAACAAGTTTGATTCTTGTTGACAAACCTTAGGTGTTTTATTTGGGAAACCTTTTACCCAAGCTTTAAATAACAGTGGATGTAAATATCCAGACTTTTTTGATAAAATATTCAGTATACAATTAAATCACGTGTATTTTCAAAAGTTCAAATCACAAGGAAATCACCGGTCAACGAAAATAACAATAGAATAATTAAAAGTCGAGAAGTACGAAAAGTACTGAATAAGAACATATGATTTTTATCTGTCAATATCAAGTTAAAAAAATGAGGTACAGATGACGCTATTCTATAACGCCAACTCTAAACGCGAAAGTGATGAATATTAAAATTGAAAATTGTACGTAATACTAAGTTTACTACCCCTCTGCCCATGGTAAGATATTATCAGATTCACTCAACACAACAGCAAACAGTAACCGTGTTGATTGAAGCTAATAATCGAATGGGTTTGCGGAGTGATGTCGATTGCAGTAATCATATATCCCTAGCGCACGTAATCGGTGGTCTGTTGAGAATTGAGTCATCGAGAGTGGTTTTGCGAAAGATACCGGCTGTCCTGCTTACAGGTACGGTATATCGTGTTGTGGGAGACTGTGGTGTCATCGACTATGGTGTTTTATGTTTCACTATTTTAACAGTAAGAACAAAAGAAAACCAAAGGTGGGGTTAATCGGTTAATATCTAGCAATTAATTGAAACTAATATTTTGTTGTTGCAATTAATCATTTGATACATGAATCGACTAATAACTTTTTTTGCCATCCTTAAACATATGCAAGGATTTGTCAAAACACGCTTAATTACAATATATAAAAACACAATAATATAGGAAATTGGACCAACGACACCCGCATCAAGAGGTACAGAGATGTAAAACTCTCATGTCATCGGAAGTGAGATTGTGAATCACAACTTAACCTTTGACAGTTGACTGAATTAAAGAGGTTTTGACGTTTCGCAATTGGAAAAATATAAGGACGGAGAGATTGGTTTCCGCTGTTTAAGATCTCCATCAATAATTGGAAAACAATGAAAATAAAAAAAAAACGCGAAACTGAAATGTATGTGATAAAATCGGTTGTGATGTGATGCTTCGTAGTACTAATTTTCAATTGAAAATGATTAAAGCACCTTATTAAGTGTTGAAAGTTGATTCAGATATTTTACTCTATCACAAAATCATAAAAAAGGATTGAAGTATTTTTTCCATATGTTAAACGGATATATATATAATAATTTTTAATTAAAAAAAGATTGGGTGTTTTAATTTAAATTTCCCAAAGTTATTATTTTGATTGATCTGGCTATAATACAAAATGGTATAAAAGACGCAAATTTCTGCTCATTTCCCGGAACAGCCGATATCGGGCCTTTATTGCTATAGCTGCCATACAAACTGAACAATCGGAATTAAGTACTGGTATGGGAAACTTGGCATGGATTATTATTTAAGGCAATCTCCGAAGAAATTGTATAGATCAGGTGACTATAGCATAGTACTGCCATACAAACTGAACGATCGGAATCAAATGCTTGTATGGTTAACTCTTTCATTTGACGAGGTATTTTCACGAAATTAGGCACGAGTTATTGTTTAAGGCAACAATGTATTCTTCGCAGAAATTGTTCAGATCAGACTACTATATCATATAGCTGTCATACAAATTGAACGATCGGAATAAGTTTTTGTAAGGAGCCTTTGTATTTGTGAAGGGTTTTATAGCTTCGCTGCAACCGAAGTTAACGTGTTTTCTTGTTCAATTTAAAATTATTCCTATATGCGTTATAAGAGATGCTTATAAAATTGTAAATATAAGTCCTGGGATATTGTTTTATGGTGCATTGACTTGCACATTCATTTCCTCATTTATTCAATGGACAAATGTTAAATTGAGTAACGTTATATATGTATATCGGAATAATAAGTAAGTTATATATACCGCAACGTGTACTTATATATTTCCATAAATAAAAAAAATTTTCTTCGTATAAAAATAAAACCACCAGCTCTCTTCAATACCAGCAATAATGCCTTATCGAAACCTCTGATTGCTTCCCTTATAATAGACTTTTAAACTACATCTGATTCTGCTTCACGTATGTAAATCAAGCAAAAATTAGTGTATCGGATAAAACTTTGCACGAATAATGCCTTTAAAGTATACCACCGTGTGACCAAAACTTGTTCAAATCAAACCGAAACTGTTCAAGCCCCTATGTACCGAATATATGGACCCCCATTTTTAATACATATTTGATATTTTACCGAAAATATCGGGCAATGTGTGAGATGTATATTTGATATTCATGGCGGATGCTTCCTGATAATAGTATGTCTGTATGTCAAAACATCGGGTCAATAATTTTCTTAGCTTCTTATAACGAATTTAAAGATTTTTGAACTTCCGAGCAATGTCAAAATTAATGCAATCGGCCCGTCCGTTTCTCTATTGCCAATACGTTAATATAATATATATTTCGAAAATACTTTATAATATAACAAGTTCACTTTTTTATATTTTGGCTTGTAAATAATTTATAATATAATAAGTTCACTTTCACTTTTATTAAATGCGACGAAAACCACTCTGCGGGAACGTTTTAATATAGAACCTTATTGGTCACGGATGAAATCGAAAGGAGAGCCCATCCCGGTCTGTCTGGTGATTTTGATCATTCGGGTGGTGGAAAAGATGGTGGTTGAAGTGTGGGTGTATAGTATAGGTGTATAGTGTGGTTAGTTTATTGTATATGGTTGTGTTGGTGAGTGATATGGTGTGTTGTAGGTAGTATATGATGTTGCCTTGTGTTCTGTTGTGTTGTATGATGTTGTATGGTGGGTTGTGTGCTGAGTTGCAAAATGTCGCGGGATCAGAAGTCGCATAAACATCCCTAGACGAATTATTTACCAAGAAGTCTCTGCTACTGTTGCAGGGTACTCTCTACGACGTTGCTCTTTGTCGCTGGTTGCGTTACCATGGGGTGATGGAGGTGGCCGCGAGCGTGCCCCTCTGGATGGCTTGGATCAATGTACTTTTCGGCGCTGGACGGGATCCTCGTGTTGTCTGTGCCGCTAACTGGTCTTTTTTGCTCGTCGAGGGAATCGATGAAACAATGTGTGATGCGTTCGTTGACAATATTGATACGATCCGTCGGTTACACAGTCAACGGTGGAGTGACTATCTGCCAAGCAAGTCATACAATGGCCGTGGGCTCTGGCGATCTGTTGTCGTTGAGCGGACTTCATGCTCTTGAAAATGGTGCACCTCTTCAGGACGTATGGTCGATGGCATAAACTACATTGTGGAGGCAGATGCTTTTCAAACTGCTCCTCGTTGCTTGCTGCTGCATATGATTGGCTTGGCGGGCTCGTGGCGCTTTGCATCCTTGGTGCTGCGATGGGTGGAGCTGATGCTCTAGGCGCAGCAATTACGGACTTCACAGTCTTGGGAGTGCTGTGGATATCTCCTACGTCCATTTCTATTGGAATATATTAAAAGATGGTATGGCTTATAGTTTTGAATTATATTTGTAGGTTGGTTTGAAAAAAAAAAAAATATATATATTTATATATATTGTATATGTATATGTAAATATATATGTTATGCTTAACTTCTAATCGCGTTTGTTAATGTTAGATTTGAATGTACGGATTATAAAACGGTAGTATTTCGCGTTAAACGAATTAATTGTCGATTTTGATTTTATTTATGCGCTCGTCTTGGCGGCGTTTGTGTAATCGGTTCTTCGGTGTTCGGAAGAAAACACAATTTTTCTAATGGTCGAGTTAGTATACCAGTTTGTATTCGTACGTCTGCTATTCTTATGTGACCATCTCGTCCCCGATGTACCTTTTCAATGCGGCCTAGTCACCATTCGGTTGAAGGAAGACATTCATCATGTATGATTCGCCCGTATTAAATTCATGATGAAGTATCTTAATTTTTTCCCATCAGTCTATTAAATTGAGTGAGTCTGCTTCTGCCTCAGGTATGGCGAGAAGTGGAGCTCCCCTGAGGAAATGTCCAGGTGTAAGAGCTGTGAGATCGGAGGAAGCTTGCGAGAGTGGTGAGATGGGTCTTGAATTTAGTACAGCTTCTATACGAGCGAGTAGTGTACCAAATTCCTCATAATTGAATTTATGATTACCTGCCGTTTTCTTTAAATGAGACTTAAAGCAGCTGATCCCCAGAGTCCGTCCATGTGAGCAGAACAAGGGGTTATAAACTGCCAATCGATTCCTTGTGGTGCATATTCTTTAACAATTTCTGGGGAGACTTCTTGAGTAAACTTTACAAACTCTTTCTCTGTGGCTCTTTGAGCTCCGGTAAAGTTTTTCCCATTGTGGCTCATAATTTTGAATGGAAATGTTGCGAGAAAAGCCGCAGTGTCGTGAAGCATACAGCCACATACCCTTTTCTGAATGATTAAGACCTTAACATAGAGGCCTTTATCTGGAAAGGTCCAGCAAAATCGACCCCAGTAATGGTAAAGGGAAGAGCAAAATTGCAGCGTTCAGTTGACAAAGCTGCCATGATCTGCGTGCGTATTTTGTGCTTGCATAATGTGCATTGTTTACACATAAAAATCGTTCTTTTAATTTGTGGCTTTAGGCGCGTTATATAAAATTCTAGTCGGACCATTTGTTGCATCAAGCGATGCTCACCATGTAATGTAAGTTGGTGAAGATATATTAAAAATAAATAAGTAAAACGGGATTTCTCGGGAATTATAATGGGATGTCGTTCGTTATAACTAAGGGTGGAATTCACTAGTCTTCCATGTGCTCAGAATAATCCTTTAGTGTCCAAGAAAGGATTTAATACGAGAAGTGAGCTTTCGTTATCGAGGGGTCGTCTTTCGACTAACTTTGATTTCTCCCGAAAGAAATAGCGAGTTTGTGTATACTTATGTAATAAGGCTGACTTTGGCATGTTGCAGGTCGGAGTGCGTTAGTTGTGCGGAAGGATCATTTGTTATTCCTTTAACCTTTTGATTAAGTCTTTGGATAAATTTAAACATGTAAGCGACTACTCTTAGTGCTTTTGGAAATGAAGAAAATCAATGTAATATATCATCTTCACCAGGAGTGATATGAAAATTTTCAATTCTCCGAATTTCAGGAGCTATTATATTGCGATCGTGAGACTTTGTGCAAACTTCTTGTGATTCTGTTAACCACGTAGGACCGTGTAGTGCTGGTAAGATGAAGTGGTTTGCAACCTCTTGTCTCAAGATCCGCTGGATTATCTGCACTTGCAACATGTTGCCATAGTGCTGGGCCAATTAAGTCTAATATTTAGATATACGGTTAGATACATACATAAGTCTTCCAGGTATACGGTGGTTTTTCTAACCAAGCTAAAACTATTTCTGAGTCTGACCAAAGGTACATTTTGTGATTGGTTAGTTTCAGATGGGTTTGGACAATTGAAACTAGTTTTGCTAACAGAAGTGCACCGTTCAGTTCGAGCCGTGACAGGCTTAGTGTCTTCAGGGAAGCAACTTTGGCATTGACGTGAAGATATTCTGTTATCATATTCAGTGCGTACGTAAACTGTAACCTTTTCAGAGGCATCACAGAAGCCATGTAATTCTACATTATAGTCAGGTGCGAAATTTACCCATCGAGGAATTCGAATTTCCGAGATGGTATGAAGATTGTTACCAAATTGAACCCACTTTGTTAAACGTATGGGTTTTACTTACTCATCCCATTCAGTTCCATCTTGCCTTAGTTCTTGAATGAGGATTTGTGCTTGAATCATTATTGGCGAAAGCCATCCTGCGGGGTCGAAAAGTTTTGCCACCCAGGAAAGTATTTGAAGTTTGGTTATGGCGGATACTGCAGATATTGACTCAATTGTATATGAGAATTGATCTGTTATCGCATTCCATTGAATCCAGAGAGTTTTTGTAGTACTGGCCTTTTCAAATTTAAGCAAGTTTGTATCTAATAAGTCTTCCCTTTTTATGTTTTTTATTATTTCAGGATGATTTGATGTAATATCGTCAACGTATGTTTGTTTTTGTAGCACAGAAGTTGCTAAAGGCGAATTTGTTCGACAGGTTTTTGCCACTTTATGTAATGTCCTAATGGCTAAATAGGGCGCACAATTGATGCCAAAGGTAACTGTTTAAGTTTGTAGTCGCTGATTGGACTTTTACTTGATTTTCGGAAGACTATACGTTGGAAATCTTGGTCATCTTTATGTACTAAAATTTGCCGATACATTTTCTTTACATCTCCATTAAAAACATATTTAAATATGCCCCAATTTAGTATTAGCAGTATGAGATCAGGTTGTAATGTTGGTTCTGTGTATAGTACACCATTGAGTGATTTGCCTGTGATCGTACACTTTGAGGCATTAAAAACAACTCGTACTTTTGTTGTGATTTTATCTGGTCTTATTACCACGTGCTGTGGAAGATAAAAAGATAAATATCTACCTTTAGATATTTTTTCATATGGTACAGCTTCTTCCAAATGATTGAGGTCAAGATATTCATCCATCACGTTATCATATGCTGATTTAAGCTCGCTTTTCTTTATTAGGCTTTTTTCCAAGCTTAGGAATTGCTAGACTGCTGATATTCTAGAGTGGCCTAGAGCTATAGTTTCTGGAAAGGTTGGCTTGAATGGGAGTCGCACAACATAACGACCATGTTCGTTTCTTGTTGTTGTGGACTTGTAATAGGCTTCGCATGCCAGGTCTTCTTCTGAAGGTTGTGTGATCTGGGGTAATTCTTCTATTTCCTAGAATTTTTTGAGTTGAGACTATTTAAATATTCGTTTGAAATATTTTCAACTTGAGTTGTGCAGGTATTAATTTTTTCTGTGACTCAGCTACTTAATATGCATCCAAACGTTGTGTTT